ACAAAGGTGCCCTAGGAAGACAAGGCAGGAGGAAGGTGTAGTCTTTAACCAAGTCAAGGAGGAGGAACAGCCAGGGGTTTACACGCTGAATAATGAGAGGTCCCAAAGTACCTTTGCTAAGCAGGTTCCTAAACTCCCCGCGTCTCGTCTGTGTCCGTGGGGAGGATGCTCGTGCAGCCCACCTGCGCTGTGAAACTACGTATGTGTTCCCTTTGCCGCTGCTGCTCAGCACTGCCATTCCTCCCTGTTTCCCCCCTCTTGCACTTTGCACCCTTTAAGGACAGGCAGTTCATACAGGGGAGGCTGTGAGGTGCAACTGCCTTGGACCTGACCTGGAGATGCTGTGACTCAACCCGAGGCGTTTATCCAGCTCATGTATTTCTTTGTTCTGTTCGTAGGTGCAGGAAAACAAGAGCTGAAAAGCTACTTAGCACCTCAAAGTCCACCCCTGTAGAACAGTGCTGCCAGTTGAACTAGCGCCTATCAAGACTTCTCTTCGTTCCTGGGAAATGTGTAGATATTTGTCTGTTTCCTACTGTTTCCTAGTAGCAAATAGAAGAGTTAAAGGCCACAAAACCACAAAACATCCCACGTTAGTGGAAATTTGTGAGCAACAGTTGGCTTAATGACCAACACGTTTTAGTATAAAAACTCGTTTAAAATTTCTTGATATCTGATGTGATAATGCAACACTTTAATTTCTCCTCCCCCGCGTCTGTAGAGCCCGGAGCAGGGAGTGATTGAAATCACTTTCCATTCATGTTCTCCATCACCCAGAACCTCAAGAACTACCGCTTGCCTTACGTTTATCTTACCATTACAGGGTTATCATTTGGCAGAGAGATAGAGAGAGAGAACAGATTTTGTTTTCCATGTGATAAATGCAATGGTAACATTTTAGCAACATAGGCCAGTAAAGTTTCTAAATGAAACCAATTTTAGAAGCCAATCTATTTTGGCTTCTAAACAGAGTCACACTCTGCAGACGCTCTTCTTTTTTGGAGCCCACCGAGAAAAGCCAGTTATTTCAAGGGAAAGGAATGTGTTAATGTCTGTGCCGCATGGTTATTCATTAATATTTTTCTTGCATTGCTTCTATAGCTCTAAGCACCCAAGCACCCTATACTTCATAAAAAGAAAAAAGCCAAGGAAAGCGATTAAGCTTTTCATTCCCAAAGTGCCATGCTTGAAGACTAGGGCACATTTGCATTGACTACTGTGGAAGAAAGATGGATCTACCTTTCATACTGCTGGGGCAGCAGTATGCCAACATCACTGCAAAATCAACACCCTCTGACAAAGGAGAAGTCACACGTGAATCTCTAGAGCCTGCGCTTTATGTAGTGATGCATGTATGTGGAACCACTAGCTATCGCTGGACCATCACAGCAGCAAGCCTAGAAAACACCTTTGGGTCAGAATACAGCCATCAGGCCAGTGCCTCTTCACCATTGAGCCATAATCCTTCTGTCTGCCTTACTTCCAACACAAACTATGCATCAGCTGCTTCCTGTGATGCCCGAGCTAGTTACAGTCCAGTTGGCTTTCAGTTACTATCCTTTTTACAGAGCTTCATTCTGCTCCAAATGATGGCAACGATTCAAATCATCCAAATAGACTCGTGCTCCTCTGCAAGAAAGCAAGGTTCACATAGTTCTCAAAAGCTACTAGAAGTATCTCAGTTCTCAATGTTTGCATAGGTCAGGGGAAGAAAAACATAGCATACATTTTTCCTCTTCAAACATCAGCCCCATCTCTCTCAAAGGAAGAATCCCAGTTCCTCCTCTTTCCCGTAGGCATGCATGGAAGCTCTTTTACAGATAGAGCAGCACAAGAACAAAAATTGGGGTTAAACCTCTACTTAGTGAGCACCTCAAATCCCACAGTACCGCTGCCACGGTTGGGTGGGGTGTGCGCTAGTTCTGCCACACCCTAGAAAGCATGATGGGAAATGAAATCTCCTGTCCTGTGGTACAGCTATTATAAGCTCTAATGATCGGTTACCACAAACACAGAAGGGGAAAGAAGAGAAAGCGACGAAGGGTAACTTTATGTGAGTTAAGAATGAGGCAGAAAAAGGTAAACAAAATTATTCAGCTGAGCAGTCAACCTTCCCACTCGCCAACAGATTAAATCCAACCATCCCATCAAAACTGCAGCAGCTTACCAGAGCTAATTTGCTGACACCTTCCTGTGCTTTCATTACGAGGAGAAGATTTCTTGAGAAGAGCGTTTCAGGTTTCTCTAGTCAAAGAGACCTCCTGTAAGAGAAAGACGCGTTTCAGACTAAGGAGCTGCCTGGGGAAATGCTGGACAAGGCTTAGCACAAAGCTAGAAGAAAACTGCAAACAAAACGGGGTGGAAGACAGGAACATAGATCTTATACATGCTATTGTGCAACAGCATTTACTTCTTCGTAGTTACGAAGAAATGAAACTACGCTAATCAATCAATGAGGAGGTGAACTGAGCGGAAACCAGGGAAAACGATGAGACATAGAAAGTTGAGGTTGGGAGAAATGTCGTCTTTAGTGGGTGAACAGCTGTCCATATTCTTAATGTATGATTTGTATTGCAAATCCAGAGCGTCCTATTCCAGTACAGATTAGGAAGATAATTTGAAGGTAATTCAACATAGTAAAGGGAACTCACTTGCTTTTTACTTACATGTTAATGTATTCTTTGAGGCTTATGTAAAACTGATACACAAAGGCTCCTTCTAGTGGACTTCAGTTGCATTATTCAGGAGTTGAGGTCTAGCAGTTGCAGATTACCAAATGAAGTGTCCTGGATTCTCTCAAAAATCTTAGAGAAGGTACAGGACCAAGCCAACCAGGTATCAAGCCACATAGAAATGGTCCCTGTCTAAAGAGAAGAAAACAAATTATGGCAGTTGTATCTCTGGGAGCACAGGAACAGGACAGAGAGAGGGGGAAAGACTTGCAAATTCACTGCAGGGGGAAATCTACCCTTGTTCCTCACACTCTGTAAAGCCATAAAGCCTTGCTGTTCTTGTCCCACCCTTGACAGGGAAGGGTGGAATGCATGTGGGTGAAACTCTATGGTGCTGTCCTTGTATCATTTTCTGAGCATTTCCCCTTCTTCCTTTGATGCCTTTGAGAACACTGTGTTGCAACATCACAGGTCTGATTTGAAAGCCGTTGAAGAACTTCCCTGATTTCTTATGAAACTGATGGGCTTTATTTTTAAAACAGGTCAGGGCTACTGTGGCGCTCTGACCTCTTTCGATTGCTGCTGCTGCTGCTTAGCCAAGACTTCATTCCTGCAGGGCAGCGCCCTTGGGTTTTGTCATGGATACCTACTCACTGGTTATTGCAACAACAGTGGAAGAAACGTCCCTCATGGATACTTTGCAGTTAAGTAAGTTAGCTGAAGAGCAAGGGACCTACTGTGGGAACTGTTTGGTTTGTTAGTTTTACTAATGCTCAGTCTGGATGCTGGCCACCAGCTAGGCTGCAAACAGTAGCATAGCTGGGAGATCTTGAGGGAAGCTGCATTCAGTGGCATTTGGTTTAGGTTAGAGCAGGAAATTCTGCATCCGGGCCCTTTGTGTCAGATTTTATGCTTTGATGCCCTGAACACACCATGACCATTGCTTAACTCAGAGCTGCTGCTGTAACAAGAATTAAAAAATAAAAATTCTTCTTCTGCCACTTTTAGCAAAATACTTGAGCAGAGGATGTTCCTAATCTGGAGTGCTCTTTGAATAGGTTTTGCTTTAGTAGGAGTCTTCCAATAGGATTATTTCCTCTTCCGCGATATTTCAGAACTGGCGATGTTGAGTAAGCTCTATTTCCTTTTTTGGCTACACGAGTTAC